TAAGTATCTAGAAATTTGTCCGTTTCTTTAAGATTTTCAAATTTATTAGAATGTAAGTTCTCAAAGTAGTCTCTGATGATTTTCTGGATTTCTGTGGTGTTTGTTGTTATCTACCCTTTTTGCATTTCTGATTTTACTAATTTGGGTTTTTTCTCTCTTCCTTTTAGTCAGGTTTGCCAGGGGTCTGTCAATTTTATTTATATTTTCAAAGAACCAACTTTTTGTTTTATTGATTCTTTGTATCTTTTGTTGTTGCTTGTTTCATTGGTTTCGGCCCTTATTTTTATTATTTCTCTCCTTCTGCTTATTTTGGGATTTGCTTGTTCTTGTTTTTCTAAGAGTTTGAGATGTAGCATTACGTCACTGATTTCAGATTCTTCTGTCCTTTTAATATATGCACTCATGGCTATAAACTTTCCTCTTTAGAATACCTTTGCTCTGTCCCATAGGTTCCAGTAGGTCATGTTTTCATTTTCTTTAACTTCCAGAAATCTTTTAATTTACTCTTTTATTTCATCAATGACCCACTGATATTTAAGCAATACATTGTTCAGCTTCCAATTGTTTGCATGTTTTTTACTGTTGTTTATGTTGCTGAGTTCTAGTTTTAATGTGTTGTCATCAGATTGAATGCATGGTATTATTTCTATTTTCTTATATTTGCTGAGGCTTGCTTTGTGCCTAAGATAGGATCAATTTTGGAGAAGGTTCCATGGACTGCTGAGAAGAATGTATTTTGTGCAGAAGTTGGGTGAAATATTCTGTAGACATCAGCTCGGTCCCTTTGATCTATGGTGTAATTTAGTTCTAGAATTTCTTCATTGATTTTTTTGTTTTGATGACCTATCTACTGGTGATAGGGGAGTATTAAAGTCTCCCACTACCACTGTGTTGGAGTCTATATATGCTTTTAGGTTCTTCAGAGTATGTCTGATGAAACTGGGTGCACTGATGTTGGGCATATAGATTGATAATTGTTATTTCCTTTTGGTGTATTTCCCCTTTTGTAAGTATGGAGTGTCCTTCTTTATCTTGTTTGATCAATGTAGGTTTTAAGTCTACTTTGTCTGAGAAAAGTATTGCTACTCCTGCCTGTTTTGGGGGGCCACTGGCTTGGTAAATCTTCTTCCAGCCTTTCACCCTAAGCCAGTGTTTGTTTCTGTCAATGAGATGGGTCTCCTGAAAGCAGCAGATTGTTGTATCTTCCTTTTTAATCCAGTTTGCCAAACAGTGTCTTCTGATGGGAGAATTAAGTCTGTTAACATTCAGTGTTAGTATTCATAGGTATGTGATGATCCCTGTCATTTAGTTGTCTTTGTTGCTTAAGGATTTGATTGTGTGCAGTTAAATCAATGTTACTGTCTACTTTCTTGCCTTTTCTTCTCCTGTGTTTTGGGCTGCCTGTTCTTTCATGGTTTTATATGCTTTCATTTTCTGTGTGTAGGATTCCTTGAAGACACTTTTGTAGTGGTGGCTTGGTGGGCATATATATTGTTTTAGCTTATGCTTATCATGGAAGACTTTTATTGCTCTATCTAGTTTGAATGATAGTTTTGCTGGGTAGAGTATCCTAGGGTTGAAATTATTTTCATTCAGTGCCCGGAATGCTTCACTCCATGCTCTTCTTGCTTTTAAGGTTTCCATTGAGGAGTCTGCTGTGATTTTGGTGGGTTTACTTTTGTATGTTATTTGTTTCTTCTCTCTTACAGCCTTCAATATTCTTTCTCTATTGTCTGTGCTTGTTGTTTTAATGATAATATGTCATGGGGTAGCTTTATTTTCGTCAAGTCTGTTTGATGTCCTGGAGGCTTCCTGTTTCTAAATGGGCATAGTTTTCTCTAGATTTGGGAAATTTTCTGTTAATATTTTGTTGAATATATTACAAAATCCTTTTGCTTGCAGTTCTTCTCCTTCTTCAATACCCGTGATTCTGAGGTTTGGTCTTCTGACTGAGTTGGTGAATTCTTGCATATTCCTTTCACAGGTTTTGAGTTGTTTAAGTAATAGTTCTTCAGTTTTTCCTTTTATTTCCATTTCATCTTCAAGTTCTGAGATTTTGTCTTCTGCTTGTTCTAGTTTGCTGGAGTGGCCTTCAATTGTGTTTTGTATTTGTTTCATTTTTTTTTTCCCTGAGGTTTTCCATATCATGGGTTACTTCCTCTTTGACACTGTCAGTTTTCATCCTTAATTCGTTTATCTCTCTATTTATGGTGTTCTCTGTTTCACTTTGGTATTTATTTAGGGCTCCTATGAGTTTACTTGTTGTGTTTCAAAAGTTCATTTTTAAAGATTATCAGTAACCTCAAAGAGGGTTCAAACAAACAGATGGAGTAAGGGAGTAAACTTAAGACCTAGAGGAAAAGTCAGAAATATGGATAGAAATTCAGCAAGGAAATTGAGATTCTGGGAAAAAAACAGATGGTAGGTAAATAAGGACCAATGGAACAGAAGAGAGGACCCAGAAACAAGCCCATGCAGCTCTATCCATCTGATTCTCAACAAAGATGCTAAAAATGTACCTTGGAGAAAAGACAGCCTCTTCAGCCAATGCCTTTGGGAAAACTGGATATCCACATTTAGATAACTGAAACTAGATCCCTATCTCTCACCCTGTATAAAAATCAATTTGAAATGGATCAAAGACCTTAATGTAAGACATAAAATTCTGAAACTAGTAGCAGAAAACAAAGTACTTCGAGGCATAGACACAGACAATGACTTTCTGAATCAGACTCCTGGTATTTCTGTCAAGAAATAATAGCAAGATTCTGAGTGAGGTTAGCCTGGCCCAAAAGACCAAAAATTGTATGTTCTCCCTCATATGCAGACATTAGATCAAGGGCAAACATAACAAGGGGACTGGACTCTGATCACATGATAAAGCAAGAGCACACAAGGGAGGTATGAGGATAGGTAAGACACCCAAAAAACTAGATAGCATTTGTTGCCCTCAACACAGAGAAACTAATGCAGATACTTTAAAGCGACAGAGGCCAATAGGAGAAGGGGACCAATAACTAGAGAAAAGGTTAGTTTGAGAAGAATTAATTTAGAAGGTAACACACATGTACAGGAAAGCAATGCAAGTCAACTCTCTGTATATCTATCCTTATCTCAACTAGCAAAACCCCATGGTTCTTCCTATTATTGCTTATATTCTCTCTTCAACAAAATAGACATAAGGGCAAAACAGTTTCTGCCTGGAAGTGAAGGGGTGGGGGAGAGAGGGAGGGGGAGCAAGGGGGGAAGAGATGATCCAAACATTGTATGTACATATGAGTAAAAAAATAAATAATAGCAAGAACTAACAAGTGGGATTGTATCAAATGAAAAAGCTTCTGCGCATCAAAGGATACAATTACCAGAGTGAGTAGACAGCTTATAGAAAGGGAGAAAGTATATGGCAGCCATTCATCTTTATATATCCAGGATATATAAAGAGCTCAAAAAAATTCAAGCGTTAAAAATAATCCAACCAATGCATGGAGAAATTAATTTAACAGTGTAAGAAGTATAAATGGTCAATACATACATGAAATTTTCAATATTCTTAGCCGTAAAGGAGATGCAAATCAAAACAATACTGACTTTCCATCTTATTCCTATCAGAACGGCTACCTCAAATGCTTGTGAGGACATGGGGGAAAGCAACCCATTGTTGGTGGGAATATACATTAGTGCAGCCACTATGGAAATCAAAAAATCAGTATGGAGACTCCTCAAAAAACTAAAACTACAACTAACATATGATCCAGCTAACAGTTCTGGAAACACCTGAAGGAATATAAGTAAGCATACAGTAGAGATACCTGTACACCCATGTTCATCACAGCACTATTCACAATAACCAAGCTATGACATCAACCTAGGTATCTATTAACAGATGAAAAGATAAAGAAAATGTGGTATATATAAACAATGGAGTATTATTCAGCCATGTGGCAGAATGAAGTGATGTCATTTGCAGGAAAATGGATGGAAGTGGAGATCATCATGAGAAGCGAAGCCTGACTGAGAAAGACAGAACCTGCATGTTTTCTCTCAAATGTGGAATCTACATCTTTAAAAAACAAAACAAAACAAAAAAACCAAACATGAATGTAAAGTAAAAGGGACTATTTTGATGGCTGAGAACCAGTAGGAGAAGAGAGGGGGGAAAGAGCAAGTGATATTGGGGGATGAGGGGAAATATATTGCATGCACATATGAAATTGTTGTTAGAAAAGCTATTTAAAATTTTATTTTAAAAAAGAGGAAGTTTGGGGGTAAGAAAGTGACAGAAGGAGTGAATATGATAAAGTACATTACATGCATTATGGAAATGTCACAAAGTAAGGGCTTTCCCCTTTGTATAATTAATATACACTAACAGAAAAAAAAAAGGTAGCAATATTAATCGCATAATGGAGAAAAAAGTATGAGATTTTACAAAAATAAAACAAAAACATCCTGTAAAATTACGGGAATCAATTTTGAGTGTGTAGCCAAGGGCAGAAACAGGCAGTATAATTCAGTTATTGCCAATATTACTCAAATAGATAAAGCAAGAAGAAAATGGTAAGAAATTACCAAAAATATGAATAGTTGGGCTAGCTGATGCCAAAAATTTTACTCATATTTTGAGCAGATACAAATCTCAAATACTGGCACCAGACTCCCCATACTGAGAAAGTGTATTTCATTCTAGTCTTCTGATAATCATACATTAAACACAAAAATGAACAATGTGCTATTTATCTCAATTATTACATATATACTGCACTTCACAGAAGCGGGGGGGGGGGGGGGGACGGGACCCATTCCACTGCCAACCAATCAATTAACATTAAGTCATGGCCTTCAAAAGAGAGGTGAGCGAATGTGGATACATCACAGTGATACATCACCCTCTAGCAAACCACTCAAAATGGCTGCCCTGTTTATGGGATACCACTGGTGTCATCTTTATGCACACTCTGTATCACTCAGTTGGCAACTTACAAGCACACTGTTTCACTTACCTTGCCTGCACTTGCATCTGCTGTCACGGATGCAGGGAGCACATCTCCTGTTGACTTTTTCTGTACTTCTGGAGTTGGACATCTTTTTCCTCTATCTTCTACAGATTTCTTGGCATCAGAAGTTTCATGCTCACTTTTACTTTGTCTTTTTATTCCTGTTATTTCTTTGCTCCTTTTTGCTGAGGTTTCTTTATCTTCTTTCTTGGTTTGTTCACTCTCTCTCTTCTCTATTTCTTCTTTTGCTTTTTGTTGATTTTCTGTGATTTCATTTTCTTCAGGTTCTTGTTTCTTTCTGGCTTTTTGCTCTTGTTCTTCCCTTCTCAGCTTTTCTTTCTGTTCTTCTTGCTGCCTTTCCCGAAGTTCCTTCTCCTGTCTGTTTTTCTCCATTAGAAGCACAGTTTCTGCATGAATACGAGCTTTTTCTTCAGCAGTTAACATGACAGTTGGAGGGGGAAATGCTGGCTTGGTAGATCGATCAGGAAGAACTTTTCCACTCTGAGGTAACTGTTGCTCATGATCTGTTTCAGATTTTATCCTTTGATCCTCAGGCAATTTGACTGCTGGTTTTTTAGTACGATCAATCTGGATAAACAAAAACAGAGCAAAATATTGTTTTTGCTTGTTTGGTTTTGTTCATTTGTTTTTGTTATAATACAGGGCTTCACTGTGCTGTTGTGGCTGGCCTCACACTCACTATGTAGACCAGGCTATCCTCAAACTCATGATCCTCTTGCTTCATCCCACTGAAGCAAGTAAAATACTTTTGACAAGGTTCAGGAGTATAACCTCAGTTACATTTTCAATTCACCCAGAGGTGTTCTGTATACAAAAGAGTTACTTATGTCTTTATGCTAAAACATAAAGTCTAGACCAGACATAACCAGACTGAAGTTGCACTTCCATGTATCCAGCTGTCTATTATCTCTACGTAAGTGACATACACATAACTAAAACTGAATTCATGATTTCCTTCCACAAACATGGCCCTTATCTTGTGGATGTAACCACTCTCCAAATAGTTGTACAAACCAGAACTTGAGAGGTCGATGACATGTTCTTCCCATGCCCTTCCTCAGTCTTATGATTGTCCTCCTGCATCTATACTGCCCTGTGCTACCACCAGTCAAGTTCATGTAAACCAACTCTTTCTCTCAAGGATGACAGCACAGTTTCTAACTTGTTGTCCATCTCTTCTTTTGCTCCCCTTCTAATCTACTCCTCTACAGTGCAGCAAGACTAATCATTTTAAAACAAACTTGACCATGTTTCTCCCTTGCTTAAAATCCTATTTTATGGTGCATTCCTATAATCCCAGCTACTGGGAGACAGAGACAGGAGGATCTTGAGTTTGAGGCCAGCCTCTGCAAAGTTAGTGACACCCTACCTTAAGAAAATAAAAAAACAATATAAAAACAAAAGGGCTGGGGCATAGGTCAATGGTAGAGTACTTGCCAAGCAAGTGGGGAAGCCCAGGGTTCTACCACCATTATTGCAAACAAAACAAACACTTTTTAAATTGATACCTAAAATCCTTACAATGTATGGCCTACATATAAGGTCCTGTGTAATTACATCGGCCTACCTCTCCATTCTTGTATCTGACTAATCTATACTCCAGCCACACTTGCCTTAAAAAAAAAAAAAAAAAAACTTCAAAGCTACCATGTTCCTTCCCACCTCAAGCTTTTATAATTACCACTGCATTAGATCTTTGCTTAAATATCTGAAAAGATTTGCTTGATTCTTCAAACTAGCGAAGTCCCTGATATATGTGTTCTTATAATACCTGATTCTTTTCCCTCAGAGTACTCACTGGGATTTTGATTAAGTAACTGTGTTTAAAGTCTTCTTCACTCCTGAATATAAGCTCTAAAAGAGTAGAAATGAGGGGCTGGAGGTAGGCTAAAGTGGTAGAGTGCTTACCTAGCAAAGTTTAAGACCTGGAGTTCAAACTTCAGGATTGCCAAAAAATAAAAAGGGCAGACAGTGCCGGCACATAAACAATAGATATATTGCTGAGGGAACAAACAAAACATTCCATAACTTTCATAAATGACAAAATACTAATTAGCTTCCTTCACATTAAGTTACAAACTAACTAAATTCCTGATTTAATGAGTTAAATGTTTGTTAGCTCAGTTTAATTATGATATTAATACATCATTGTGAGAAGTGACGCTAGCACAATTTCTTGAGAATACAGTGTACTGAAACAAAAATGAGAATTTTCATCAGTACCTATGTTACTATGTAGTAACAACTTATATAGTATTCTTATAAAATAAATTTTATATGCTTCCACTAGGAAACAAAGTAGAAATTAGGGAAGAAAAAGTTATTCCTAATTTCTCTTCACTTCTCTTTCTGCCTCTTCACTTTTTCTTTCTCTTCACTTCTCTTTCTGCCTCTTCACTTTTTCAGAGAAAAACAAACAAAAAGAGACAGCATATTCCAACTTACTCTTTTCTATATGTACTTGAGAACTGAGAGGTATACGAACTATCGGGGTGAAGTCAGCAGTAAATATGGAGCAGGAACCACAATACATGTTATTATTATCACATTTTGCTAGCCTAATTCATCATCCCAAATCTTAAATGCAGAGCTAGGATCATGTTACTTTCAAACTTAAAATTCTTCAACCATTCCCTTGTGCCTATAGAATAAAATTTAACTTTGACGCAAGTCACTCTGGATGACTCACTCATCTTTCCCAGTCTTATCTACTATCACACTGTCCTCTCTCCAGCTGGCCCCAGAGCAGACCTTGTGCCTTTAGTCATACAATTTTCTACTTGTCTCTTGAATCTTCAAATCCTACTGAACTCCAAAGGCCCAGGTAAAATACAACTTACTCCATGAAACCTCACTAGAAATTCTAGCACTCTGCTAGAGTTTTTCTCCTTGCTCTGTGCTCTAGTGACTAATAGAGCAATGATGATACTCTGTCTTATGCTGTGACTGGTTTTATATGTCTCTCTTTCTTAATATCAGATAGGATCCTTTTTACTCCTATTTGGAAACTTTCATGCTATCATATATTCAGAAGATTCTCAATCACTTCTTGATTTTTGGTTAAAGTCATATGTAGAAGATCTTCAAAATATGTGTGACAAATTGTACGTATCTCAGAGTCGTGCTGGGACACAAATATGTTGATCAACTTGAGCAAAAGTGTAATAAGTTCTTTTTAGAATTTCTTAAATTTACACTTTAAGAAAACTTGTTTAATCAAATTCTGTTTAGTCTTAGTGTAGTGTACATGTGAGTTCAGTACTGCAAAAAAAAAAAAAAAGAAAAAAACAAACAACCTCATTTCATAACAAAAAGATCACAAAGTTTTTTTTCTTGCCTTTTGAGACAGGATCTTGCTTTGTAGCCCACGTTGGCCTCAAAATCATGATCCTCCTGCCTCAGCCTCCCGGGTGTGGGGATTACAGTTGTGCACCACTACACTTGGCTCCAGGTTTTTCTATTTAGAGCCTGCTCTACAAATCAATGTGATCTACTTCAAATGTGAAATACTGTTCAGAAGTATTTTGAAAAAAATGAGAAACAAATGCTAAAAAAAAAAAAACCTTATTAGCATATACATAGGAAAGTATAAACTAATCTTTCTCCAAAAAGAACCCAAAAAGCTGTAATTTTTTATTCTTGGTTACATAAAAGTTTTAGTTAATTATTGTTAAACTGTCAAAATCAAAACTGAACTAAAAACTGTTTTAAAACTAAAATACTGACATCAAACATCTCTTGTATATATGCTAAACTATTTGAGAAAACAGCCCTCCATATCCATGGGTTCCACCTAGAAAATAGTTTAAAAATCTGTACTAAGCATGGAGACTTTTTGTTTCATTATTCCATAGGCAATATAGTACAGCAGCTATTTACATAGCAGTTACATTCCATTAGAAGTAATCTAGATATGATTTAAAGTATATGGCAGGATAGACTGCTATGGTGGCTCAAACCTATAATCCCAGCTACTCCACAGGCAGAAACTGGGAAGATCATGTTTCAAGGCCAGCCCAGGGAAAAAGTTTGCAAGATCCCATCTCAACCGATGGCTGGGCATGATGGTGCATATCTGTCTTCCCAGCTACATGAGAAGTACAAACAGGGAGATTGCAGTCCAGGCTGGCCCAAATACAAAGCCAGACACTACCTCGAAAAGTAAGAAATGCAAAAAGGACTGTAGTTGTGGCTCAAGTGATAGAATGCCTGCCTGGCAAGTGTAAGGCCCTGAGTTCAATGCCGGTACTACCTAAAAAAAAAAAAAAAAGGGGAGGGGAGAAAAGGGAGAAAGAAAGGAGCCAATCCCCAGCAGACACAAAACGACAACTGTACAACTGGTCAAATTACAAGAAAACCCCCAAGAGAGTTGTTCCAGGTCAGTAAATTTTATTGGCACTACTTGTGGAAAATGGTTACAGCTAGGTTTGAAACTCTTTGAACTACCACATAGCTACGGTAATAGGCTAAATTATTAAGGAATTCTTTTATAAAAATAAGATGCCAAGATACACAGATTCTTCTGACACTTTTCTAATATACTGCAGATTATATATAAAACTATGTATACTATACTATATATACTATACTATGTATTTAATACAATGTTAAAACAAAAGAGAGAATAAAGTTTAAAAAAATCAAGACAATACCTGTGGGATATTCTTTGAAATATGCACTGGCTGAAGTGTGGATGAAACATCAGCTTTGGAAGCAGTAGTTGGTTCACCTGTTGCTGACATAGTCAGTGTTCCCATTCTCTCATCTTGATCACTTATCAAGTCTGTATTTTTATCTCCTTCTACAAGAGAAGGTGGCATCTGGGCAGGAGGCTTGGAAGGAACTGACTCTTCCAATGAAGGGTAAGTAAAATCCACTAAAATCCGCAAAGGAACAATATATTTTTTAAGAATAGCAAAGTGTATAAACAGTACTTACATTTGTCACATGTGTTATATGTGACAGTTAAATGTAAACTAAATGAAACAACAATCATGACAATTATTAAAGAAAATGTTAACTACCAGAGTGTATTTTTTTGTCTGAAAACAATTGCTTTCTCATAGGACAAATGCTTATATGATGAGGAATGTTACTCTGAAAACATAAATACTTTACATTTTACTGAAGCAATTTCAAACAAAAATGTTCACATACATACATGAGATAGACACCTCTTCATTCTTGCCTCGTGGGGGTGGAGTGACTTTAGCATTTGTTGTGTACTGCGGATAGCAAAGGAGCCAGTTTTCATAGCCTCCCTCTAAAACCAAAGGCTCATTGCGCAGAACACTTTTACTTTCCCACTATAAAATAAGGAAATAGTATTTAAAGTCTCTTAGCAGTGAAAAACAAAATGCGGATGCTCCCTTGAAGGCAAGATTTATTTTTTACATGATGAAAAAATGAGAAATGAATTCATAATTCAACATTAAATAAGAGATCAGGTTTTAAGAACCACATAGTAATCCACCATCTTAGAAGAAAAAAGAGAAAATAAAAAAATATAAAATAAAAATTACCTATAGCCATACCACCCAGAAATATTACTTTAACATTTTGAAGTTTATTCTTAACAGATAGATTTCTACTTAGATATACACTTCTTATTTATTTTTGTTTTTATAAAGCAATGAAACTCTTATGGCACTGCTTTTCTTTTATGAGTATTATTAATAGTAATATCATCATTTATAATGACTAGGAGCCACACACCTCAAAACTGAATCAATCATTTGAACACTTTTTCCCCTATTTAAGTACAAGCAATGCTGTATAAACACCAAAGATCCTTATACATGCACACAACCAATCACACCTGTTAGACAAAATCCCCAAAAGTAGAGTTGCTGAGCCAGGATACAAGAACCTTTAAGACTTTAACATATATTGCCAATCTTCAAAGTGATCACTTATGTATTTGTTTAGGATGATCTCCTAGGAGTAGAGTTGCTGGTTTAAAAGTTTGGTAGGTGATGCCAAACTGCCTTTCCAAAAGGCTTTACTAATCTACACACTACAAAAGCTAACAGTGCATGAGAATTCTCATTATAATCTTCATAATTTTTACCAAACTGGTGGATGTAAAATTGTATCCTGTTTTAATTAGCATTTCTCCACCAGTGAGGTTAAACATCTTTTCATATGCTATTAACCATTTACATTGGTCTATGACCTAACTGATCCCATTTTTCTATAGCGTTGCTTGCTGTTTTTTTAGAGTGGATAAAGAAAAATAGATCTTTGTCACATATTTTTCCTGATTTTTTGTTCTTTATTTATAGTCTTGGTTTTGTTTGGGTTTTTGTTTTTTTTTTGAGAAAGTACTGCTATGTAGTTCAGGCTGGCCTAAAACTCGCAATCCTCGTCTCAGTATGATACAGTCCCAGGCATGTATTACCACACCTTGCTCCTGGTGTTTTTCACAGTTAAATGTATTGATCTTCCTGTACAGCATCTTGGTTTGGGATCAAAGTAATAAAAAAGTAAGTGTTTCTTCTGGTAGCTTACTGTTTCAATCTATCCATTTATACCTTTTGATACATTCGGAATCTAGTTTGGGCTAAGAAATAAGGAAGGGTGCTCTCCAACATTCACTGGACTTCTAAATATGTAGGCTGAACTTTATGAAACTGCCACTTTTGTTTGTCTCTGTATTCTGAACTATTTTAAAACGTGACCTGTTTTAAGACTGTCCTCCTGGCAGGCAATGCTCCATCAACTGACTGACTCTTATTCTCACAACATGTTGACCAGCATTCACTGCTATCACTATTTAGTAATATAACCAGTTAAACGGAACTTTTTTTTAACCTTTTAAAATCTGATCAGTAAAACTGGCACTCATTTTAACTTGTATTTATCGGATACTTATAAAGTTGACCATTTTTATGGTTAAGTCTACTCGCATTTCCTCTTCTGTTTATGACTACTGATGTCATCTTACTACTTTGTTTTTCTTATTTATTTGTAGAAACTCTTCAGATTTTAGGTGTTTTAAAACACTGTCACGTCCTGGTATGGTGGTACATGCCTATAATCTCAGCCCTCAAGAGGCTGAGAAAGGAGGATCTCAAGTTTGAGGCCAGCCTGGGTTACATGGGGGAGGAAAGGAAGGAAGGAGAAACTACCATATTTGTTATACAAATTTTTGTCTTCTGCCTTTTAATCTATCAGCTAATTTATATTTTTGAAATTTTTAATATATTTTATATAGGTCAATGTATTTTTACCTGGTGATTCAAAACAAATCTTTTAAATCTAAATTTTAAAAACTTCTATAATCAAAGCATGATGGATCTTTTAGTACTTGAGAACAATAGCCAATACACTTTACTAACAACCAGAGAAGGCTTGCAGTTATAGTAAACAAGGAAACTTGCTAACCTTGAAAAGTGCATCTTTCAGGCTCTGTAAAGTTGTTCCAAGATGTAAATCTTTTGCAGAACTAAACCAGTCAAGAAGTACCACATAATCCACATTCCCCCTCTTCTTCCATGTGTCTTTAGAATCATCTGGGAGGTTTGCTTCAATCCAACTAGCAGTGACTCTGAAATGTGTTAATATTTGTATTGGGAACAAGCTGACAAAAGATCCTAGCATATTAATATAAGACACTGAGTTTTGTTCCACAATCTGTACCATACCACAGCGAACTTTTTGTTGTTTTAAAAAAAAATTATTTAGTTTTTAAATTTTCTTTTTTTTTTACTGTGCTGAGGGTACATTATGGCATTTATAAAAGTTCTTACAATGTATCAACAATATATCAAATAAATCATACTTGAATTCACCCCCTTCATCATTCTCCCTTATGCTCCCTTCCCTTATTCCTGGAATAGTTTCAACAGGGCTCATTTTTTCATTTACATACATGTGTACAGAGTACTTGCCCTACATTCACCCTCCCACTTCCTTTCCCCATAACCGCCCCCCTCCGCCACTGGTACCAACCTCCAAGACAGGACCTGTTCTACTCTCCTATTTTCCGATTTTGTAGAAAAAAAAAATGACATTTTTGTTTGTTTAAGATAGCTATACAGGGTGTTTCCTTGTAACATTTCCATGTATGTATGTATAACCTGAATTGGTTCATCTTCTTTATTTTTCTCCTTTCTACCTTAGTCCCCTTCTTATGGTGATTTCAACAGGTTTAAAAATTCCATATGCATTCTTGTATAGAGAGTACATCAACCATATTCACCTTTTTAACTTCTTCTTTCATTCTCCCTCTCTCATATGTGGCCTCCCCTTAGTGTGACCTGTTTTTCATAATATTGCTGCATTTGTAGTAGGTCTATGTTCCACATATGAGAGAAAACATGCACCCTTGGCTTTCTGAACTTGCATAGCAAATTTTTAAGTAGACTCCTTTCTAAAGTTAGAGTGCATATTATGATACTGAATGGCCTAAGCAGTTAACCCTTTCACTACTGCATGTGGGAAAATGACCTTAATAATTATTAGCGACAGGAAGAAATGGACTCAATTCTGACCCCTTTAAAAAAAAAAAAAAGGTCGGGGGGCGGGGGGGCGGGAAGCCAAAACTGGAAAGAGAGGAAGTGGTCTGAACACCTCTCTCAGCCAATATGAATAACTGGGGCATCACCTGGGTGACATCATTCATATTTCAGTTCTCTTATGACTATGCAGATAATAATTAACTAGCAAAAATGTTTCTTTTAAAAAAGTTTCTTTAAAAAACACATACAACATTTGCTGTGCGCCAGATACTATTCTAAATTCTTTATTGTTGATCTTACTGAAACCTCACAATAGTTCTATCAGACACAATTTCCCACTTCATGTAGTAGAAACCACGGCACAAAGTTAAGTACTTTTGTCCGAGGTTCCAGTTGGTTAAAATTCAGGTAGTTTGGCTCACAGCCAAACTGCTCTGAATAATATCAACTCTACATTAACGCATGCTGGTCTCATGTTTTGTTCATACAGAAGCTAAAGTCCTTACAATGCTGCCCCATACTCAACCCTATTATTTCCATGTCCTCTTCTAACTACCTGCCCCTATACCACTCACTCCAGCCACTGGCTCCCTTATGATTCTTGGTTTATTCAGATGTGCTCCTGCCTAAGGCCTCTGCTCTTGCTGTCCCTCAGAATCCTTCCCTACCTCTCGTATCTAGGAACTCATTTCCCTGTCTTTTCAAGACTTGCTAATAAATCTTTGTGAGGCCCCCCTGGACTAAATCTTAAGACTCTCCCAATAAACAGTTGATACTCCATAGCACTCTTCAACATCAGACACACTACACAAAATTTTAAGTTTTATTGTCTGTCTTACCTATCCCATCTGCCTATTCAAATAAAAGCTTCACTAAGGCAACAACATGTTCACTACAACCACAGTAACTCAGCCCAAGTGCTCAGTTCCTATAATTTATGCAATTTAATAATTTATTCAATTTAAATGATCTTTTACTTAAATTTATTTTAATAACAAATTATTTTTAAAAATTGTCCTTGTACACGTGGAAAAATAGCATCATATCCAATAAAGCTAAGTCTAAAACTAAGATAATTGTGCTGTACTTGCACAACAGAACACCACCTAGCAATGAAAATAAACAAACTGCAATTACACACAATAATGGAACATAAAGCTAAATACAAGAACCCAGCTGTAAAAGTCTACATATTGTATGATTCCATTTATATAAAATACAAAAATAACCAGGCATGGTAGAACATGTCTGTAATTCCACCACTCTTCCTGCTGAGGCAGGAAGACTGCAAGTTCACAACCAGCCTGTTGGAGACCAGTCTGGGAAATATTTGGAAGACCCTATATCACAAAAAGAAAAAAGAAAAAAAAAAAAAAAAGACCCACCCTGGACTAATAGCTTCTTCAGGAACACTGAGAGAATTTGAAATGCAAGAATGCTGATAATCCTGCAGTCTTCGAGCATCCATTATAATCAAGCTGATGTTTTTATCCATCATCATTGTATACAGTTCCTTTGCTGTGACCACTCCTTGGAATTAAGAGAGACAGTGAAAGAGATGAGAAACACCGAGTCCCATGTGCCGGCACATTACTAAACACAGAAGAGAATAGCTTTTTCCAGAAGAGCAAAGTGTACTTGGTATATATCTTGCTATCCCATCATACCTTCACTGTTTTTTAAAGTAATATTAAATATAACTTGTGTTAACCTTTATTAAGAAACCACTTCAGTGCTCTGTTTATAGAGATTTACATATCAAAACATGGGCTGGAGGAAGAAGTTCAGTGGTAGAGTGCTTAAGTAGCATGCATAAGGCCCTGTGTTGAATACCCAGCACTAAGAGAAAAAAAAATGAAATGGCTATTGAAGTTACACCTATCTGGTGTTGGCTCTGTTACTGAAAAAAAAAGAAAAGAAATTAATACACACATCTTATGAAAATATTCTATTTTTAAAAATTAAGACAGTAGAAAAATGTTTGCCAGAAAATATATGGTTAAAAATTCTCAAAAGGTTCTAAATTTTTTAAAGAGTTTCTGATGGAGTGCTATGAGGACTACTGCTATGAGAGCTACTTGAACAACTTTTAGATTTCCAAGTGTTCCTAGAGTAACAACCACATGCTTGCTGTTGACAAAATATGGACACCCGTTCTATTGAAACAAGACCACACTTGTTTACACGAGGTCCCTGACTGCTTTCAGCTGCAACAGTGGTCAGACAACACAGAGTTCTGTGAGCCCCCTAGCTAAAATATTGGCTATCTAGTCCTTTAAGAAAAAGTTTGCAAGCCCTCATCCTACTTGATGCTTAGTTGGCTCCTTGTCAGAAAGGAAAAAAGATTTTATTTTTTCCAAGAAGGGTAACAAAAAAGACACTGAGTAAAGTTATTATACATGTGGTAGCAACCTACAAAGTAAATACTCCTTATGTCATTATTTTCTTCAGCTCTATCACCTGAAGTAAAAGATTAAAAAACACTACAAGGAACTTCAGATATATAAAGAACTATTTCTGCAATAGTCTCAGTTGCTCCTAAGCTAAAATACCTATAGTAGCTACTACTAAAAATCCTCCTTTGCTTTGAAAACATCAAGATCATTTTGACAAAAAAACAGACTAGACCGGCTGAGAACAACCACTGAGAAGGTAACATCTAAGCATGATGAGGTACAAAGGAACAAATGGAAAAAAACTAATTTTGGCACTGGGGTTTGAACTCAAGGCTACACCTTGAGCCACTCCACCAGCCCTTTGTCTTGCTAACTGTTTGCCCAGGCTGGCTTCGAACAGATTCTCCTGATCTCTGCCTCCTGATTAGCTAGGATTCTAGGCGTGAGCCACCAGCGCCTGGCAATTATTCTGTTTAATTTAAAAATTACTGCATAGCAATATATTCAGTACAGAATTTGAGTGTTATAAATAATATGTTTAGTTTAAACCTTTCCTCAGAGAGGAAAAAGGTCCTAAGTAGATGAAAGCAATTTCCTAAATCTGGGTTAGGTCATGTATTTGTGACTAGAACATCAATACCACTTATGGATAACATCCAAATTATTGATTTAGATTGTCTTAAAATTATGACTACAACCCAGTCACAAATAATAACAGTTAATACTTAAAGTGTACTATAGATTCTAAGAGTTTTATGTATATTAATTCAATCTTCACAATAACCCTATGAAATAGGTTTTATTATTATCCCACTTTACAGATGGGGAAACTGAGGTAAAGAAGTAACATGTTCAAGATCACATGGAAATTCAGAGGAACAGCTAGTATTAAAACTAAGGCGATCTGACTTCTGAGACCCCATGCTCCTAATCACTAAGCTAAATTGCACCTGGAAAAGACAAGTAAATTGCCTATTACCGTATTTTACCATGCCAGGCTGCAATTATTCATAAAATACTCCCTTTTGTATTGAGGCATTTCAATACAATGGTCCAGGCTAGGAAAAGTGGTAAAGCATACACACAGACTAGACACAGTGCTAAAAATTTCACAGTGTAACATCTGAAGTCTTTTCTGATTAAAGTTCTCAAGAACTTCCTCTTTCAGCACACTTACCTTTCTCCGCAGTTTCCTTTTTTTCACTCTTTTCACCATTGATCTATTTCATAGGGAAAAAAGTTTCAATTTTCATAGAAACAAAAGGTTTAATTTTAATATTTCACTGAAATGGAAAGCCTAAGAACTGCAATGTGCTAAGTAGTACTATTTTACAAAAATAGATGTCAGTAATAATGGCATTACCAGGTTTCTTTGGCAGTGGATGACAGCTAAAATAACTAGAAGCATATCAGAATCATAGGACAGTTCCTCAGAATTTTCTTTAATTAAATGCCAAATACAATTTAAAAGCACAAATTGTTATAGAAATTAAATATTTAACTAGAAAGTGTTTTTTACCATGAAACAATTCTAACTATCCCATTCAGTGTCCTTCACTCTTAAAGGAAAGTAAAGTAATAACAAATACTACTTATGAAATTTACATTTTCTAAGTAAAACAACATGGGATACTAACTCATTTCATAGACAGGAAAACCAAGGACCTACTTGGACCTATGGATCAATGCTAATATCACTAAAATTAGAAACATAAAATAATAAAAGATACACCACAATATGAAGTACACAGTAGCATCTGTGGAGCATTCTTGCCATGAAACAAAACTTGAACCTGACTCCACAGGAAATAAAATAAATATGAGAGATAGAAAAACAAGTAAAATGACACAAGGAGCAAGCAATCAGAAAAAATACAAAGTGTAGCTCATCTTCTAGTACTAAGTGCATGAAAAGAAAAATGAGAGGGAGAAGAATCTCAAATGACAATTATTTCAGAGACTTAAGGGACATAGCAGCCAAAAGGTATTAGCCCTGTTGTTTGGATCCTGATTCAACAAATCAACTCAAAAACGTCATTTTACAACAAGTAGGGAAATCTGAATATAGACTGAGTAGTAAATTACATTGGGAGGTTACTGTTAATTTTGTGAGGTGGGACAATAGGATTGTGATTATTAACAAAAGCTTCCCTATTTTGAGATGTATACTGCAATATTTAGAAATATTTAGGAGTAAAGTGGCATACTAGCTACTATTTGTTTTGAAATACCAAAGAAAAAGGGCAGGAGTCAGTTAGAAAAAAAGGATGATAAAATGTTAGTTGATGTATCTACAGTTGAGTGACGAGGCTTAAATGTATTCTCTTTCCAAAATAAACAGGCAAAACAAAGTGAAAGTAACAAAAAGTGACTGACCACTTTTGAAAAGGCAACCAAAGGAAAGAGATGGAAGACTTACAGTCCTTCTAAGTCTTGTTTTCTGGTTATATCAACGGTCTGACCTACGAATAAACATCTTCCTAGGGCAGTATTACTTACCTCACACTATGAGGTCCTAATATGAACACAAGACTTCTCCACTTCTTACACAGTGCCTAGCCCTAGATCAATACTTCTGAATGAAACTGATGATGTTCCACATACAAATGACAGCTGAAAGCTACAAAATGCTTAAGAAAAAAAATCAAAGCAGCAACCCTTCTAAGAGTTTCAACAATGTAGAAGAAGTTATATTTTAGGAGGAATAGTTTCTGAGGTGGTAAAGGAATAGTCACAGTGACACCTGGCAGGTAAAGACTGAGACACTGGTGGCTTTTAGCAAACACAATATAGCTGAAAAGACTAGATGCAGTAGCAACACAAGATAGAAAGGGGGAAAGAAGAAGAAGGAGAGACTGGGACACAGAAAGGAAAAGGCAAAGGGGGGTAAGTAAGACTCCAGAATAAGTAAAACATTTGGCACCAAATAAAGTAGTATACCAAATCTTTCTCTTAATGTATATGATTACTAAAAACAAGAAACCTTAAAGATCATGTATTTCAAGATCTTCATTTGGCAAATGAGGAAAACTGAGTTCCAAAGTGGTTAAGTGAGACTGGACACAGGCCCAGAACTCAGATGTGGTGAATTATGGCTCAAATGCTCTTTCTACCACTCTCATCAAGCTTGTAGTGACGCTAAAAAGTAATTAATTGACATACTGCTGTAGAAGCTCACAGAAAAACCTGGAATCAACCAAAGCTAGAAATTTAATTCAATTTTTAATTCAAATACATTAAATTTTACCTTGTTGCCTAAAAGAACTTCACAGTGTTATCTCTGTTTCTCATAAGCAAATCATCTGACAAACAGAATCAATCTCTTATTTTACACAATAAATTTGAAATACCCTTTGGGTTTTGTTTTGGGAATCCAATACATTCTCCAAAGAACCTTTAGCCAATGCGCCACTATCCTCTCTTCCTGCTTCCTGCCTTTTCTGTTGTTGCAGCTGCTCTTCCTCCTGTCTGTCCTTTTCTTCAAGTTTTTTCCGAACTTCAGCTTCTTCATATCTAGTTGAAAAACGAAGTCAAGAAGTCTTTTATTGGCATAATAGTAGAAAGTAAAGGAGTTTATGTTTCAAAACCTTCGTATCCTGCCTTAAGGGTTGCACAGTTTCTCCCTCCAAATAAAATCTAATTCTGCTAAAGTTCCATCACAACGACAACTCACACACAGGCCTCAGAGGCCATCTGTACATTTACTTTAAACTGTCCCAAAATCTTGAAACTATAGCTCTCAAACTGAAGTTGTTAATGTTCTCTTTGGTCATTCTAATTTCAACCTTTTAATGATCCAAATCTGCTTCAATTTCCCTTTCAAAGGACTTAAAACTCCTACCTAATGCTCCCTGAAAAAAGAAACTGCCCACATAGGGTCTTACACCTATAATCCTAGGTACTTAAGAGTCCAAGAGCAGGCCAGACCAAGCTCAGCAAATTCCAAATGGGAAAAATACAAAGAAAACCATTTGTAGGCACATCACAGTCTAACCAAAGCTAAAGAGAAAAGGCTTGAGTCAGAGAAAAAATAATGCATGAAACCAATACTAGAAAGACTGATACAAATTTCCACATCAGAAACAATGGAGGCCAGAAGACAGTAGAATATTTTTTCAATGCTGTAACAGGGGAGACAAAGACCCTGTCAACCCAGAATCCTGTACTTTGTGAAAATTTCCTTGCAGAATGAAGATGAAATAAAGATATTTTAAGATAAATGAAAATCAAAAATTTGTTCCTAACTACCAGAAATGTTAAAGAAAGTTCTTCAGGCTAAAGGAACAACTCTAGACAGAAATTTATATCTGGAAGGAATAGAGTAACAAAATGTGAACTGTAAGGGTTGATATGTAAAAGGCTATTTTTCTCCCAATTTCTTTGAAACACATATGCCTAGTTAAAGCAAAACTTACAACCCTGTCTGTATTGGAGGACTGCTCTAATATATATAGAAATAACATATTTTTTAAAAAAGTAATATGACAACTAATGCATAAAGGATAGTAAATAAACTTACATGGTTATCAGGATTTTATATCTCTTCATCTATCAATAGTTATGGATAAAGGTAGGAAGTGAGAAGACAGAAAAGAGACAAATCTCTAGAGAATCTACTTTAAAAATTTTTAATATAGCTAAAAGCTAGCTGATAACCTAAAATTGAAAAAAGAGTAACTTTAAGGCAGGCAAGAAAATAAAAAATGAAAACCAGATGACACATGTCTCAAGTGCCTTCCTAGTAAGCATGAGGCCCTGGGATTAAACTCCAGTACCACCAAAAAAAACAAAAGGCTGATATAAATGTGAATAAATAGAACATATTAATAATGAGAAACTGTCAGGATAAATGAAAAGTAGGACCCAATTATGTAACTACATAATCCTACTGTGATATCTACATGAGACATACTTTCAGTACAGACATTGGATAAATTGAACGTTAATAGAGAAAAGATGTAAATGTAAGCCTAGGAAGACTGGAGTGGCCCTGATTATTCTTCAGGACACAGAATTTTCCCAGAGGTAAAGTGGGACACAGTGATTAAAAAGTCCAAATAGTCATAAATTTTATATGCCTAAAAACAGAATATACAAAACAAAAGCTGAAAGAATTAAAGGGAGAAACAGAGACTTTTAAACACCTTCTCTCAATAATTCTTGCAACTTAGCCCACAAAAACAAATTTAAAATAACCAAAAAACTCCAAGAGTTGAGACAAAGAAGATCTGAACAGTCAACTCTCTGACAAAAATGACACACAGTACTATAGTTTGAATAAAGATTTTGTACTAACATCTTTCTCCCACCCCCAAACTCATGCTGAAATTTTACCTCCACCATAAGGTAATAAGACAGCAGAAATTTCATGTGACTATGGTGCACCGAGTTGGGTCTTTGGGAGGTGATTAGGATTAGGTAAAGTCATGAGGGTGGAGCCAAGGGGGGCCTTGCACCTTGCTGGTTGGACTTTCAGCCTCTAAAACTATGAGCTAAGTAATTTACCTCTTTTGTTTACAAAGATAGCCTGCCTGATGTATTTCATTGTAGGGATGCTAAACAGACTAATAACACATAGAGAACACTATATTCAATGACTGTACTTTCTTTTCAAGTGTACACAGTATATTCACCTAGATAGACAAAATGTCAAGTCATAAAACAAGAGTACATTTTAATGGACTGAATTATCTGGCCACAATGAAATTAGAAATCATTAAGATACCTAGAAAAATTGCACATGGTTTAAAATTAAACAACACACTTCTAAACAATCATGAGTCCAAGGAGAAATCACCAAGGAAATTAGAAAATATTTCAAAAGCAATTTTAAATTGTACTGGAGGAACAATATACCGTTAGATTCAATCAATGTGTTAAAAATAAAATAAATGGAGACAAAAGTGAATGACAGTTTCATACAGGATCTTGCAAAAACAGGATTCACCTTATTACATCTGTTCAGGCAATATCCAGGGATAACTGGACTCTCAAGTAGAACCATGCTTACTGGTGTGCTCACGTCCCCTGATTCCCTGTCATTTCAATGGAAACATCAACTCTAGATTTTCTGCCTATCTTATGTGCCAGTATCTATCTATTTCATTATTTCAAAACAGAAACAAAAGGCTTGGAACAAGGAACAAAATTCCTCGACAGTTTTACCCAGACCCTTCAATACAAATCCTCAGAGAGCCAGAAAGAACATAGCGACCAAGAATGTTTCCACTGTGGATTAGAACAATAGCAGCAGATAAACACCTCGAGTATGTACTAAATGCAAGACACCAATCTAAGTGTTTGTGTGCAGGTTAATTTGTTTAATACATTAAAAATTAGTTAGGCTTATTCTTATGCCAATTACAGGTGAGGAAAGAGAGGCAGAGGGAAACTAAGTAACTTGCCCAAGATCACACAATTAGTAAGTGGAAGAGCTGATATTCAAACCCAAGGAGTCTAGCTCCACACACTTACTCATGGCTCTATTTCTCCTCTAGTGGTATTCTATGCTAGAATAGTAGGTGAACTGTTTGCCCTAAGAAGTAAGCACAGTCAGCTAGAATCCAGTTTGAGGGCAGATGAAGAAATAAGACACCCTTTTATCCCCTAACTGACATCTGCTCCAGGTCTACAATAGAGCTTTGCAGATCCACTTAAGCAGAGCTGCTCCTGTGCCCACACTGGAGTCTCTGCTGGTATCCTGGAAAGAGATCAAGGTTTGCTCTCCATTGGAAACACACCTGCGTCCTTTACTGCCTGTCTAACCCCTCTTACTAGGATTCTGATACCTCCAGATTTGGTCAGAATTAAATCTAAGACCATCCCCTACCATGTATATATAAAAGAAGTGGATAAATCAAAACATGGTTGACAGGAATTCCTTAATGGCAGGTGATACTGAAATCTGTTTTCCAGCCAATCATTAGTCTTTTTGCTAATGTGCTTTTTGGTATCTGGAACTATGTCTAACCTAGAGGTAGGAAGATACATACCACGGTACCAGATGACTGGGAAGTTTAACAGAAACTTTTATTTACACCAAAGTGTCCATGACCTTCACCTCCAAACTCTAGATAAACAGCATATCCCCAAGGTGCTTTCTCAGACTGCTCGTCCAACAAGAGAGAAATCCTAACCATGAACAGATTCCAGAGACTTAAAGAAGAAGAATTCAGTGGCTGACTTATCAGAGAATTAATAAGGATAGATGTGAAGACATGTTAACGCAGAGGCAGGGGAGGGTACACAGGAAGAAAAACTCAGGATGAAAAGGTTCTCCTCATTTGGTTGCAAAACAAGCTATACCACAGGAAAAATTCAGAATACATTTAAAATCTTTAGAACTCAGAAGGGCTTCATTACATTGAAAGATGGAATATTCTATTACTGCATAATAAATAGATATCTAAATATTACATTATTCTCATTGACTTCCTTTATAAGTGCACAGTTGTTTTGTTTTTTGTTTGTTTGTTTGTTTTTTGGTGGTACTGGGGTATGAACCCAGGGCCTCATGCTTGCTAGGCAGGTGCTCTATAGCTTGAGCCACTCTGCCAACCCAGTTATTTTCTTAAAGAAAAAATGTAAAGTCATCACAGGAAAGTATGTTTGCTTCAAGAGGCACTTGCCTTTGTCGATGTAATCTATATGTACTAAATGTTCTGATGCTATATACTACAAAAAAACTGCCTTGACGTGATTAGTGCACATTTGTTTAAAAGAACTACAGGTAGTAATGTGCATCTCACAGTCAAACTTCATTGTACTACAAGTTTTCAAAAACCTATCATCAAGGTCCCTTTGCCCAGTAACAAATTATAGTTATGGGGATTAAAAAGTGACATAAAGACCTTCCTTCACTTAGATAACAACATGTGAATAATCATGGATTTATCAATTTGCATTCCAAAGAATTCAGCAACCATAAGATTTCCCTCTCCTCTTTATAACAAACCCAACAGAGTATCAATGGTAAACAAACATTTTAAAACAGAAAAATCATTAATAATCCTACCACCTGTAAATTTTGCTGTCTTTTCCTGTAAAAATCCATGTTTCGGGGCTGGGTGTTGCTAAGTGGTGCAGCACTTACCTGGCATGCATGAGGCCTCGGATTTGATTCCCAAAGCCACAAAAGTGACAACAGAAATACATGTTTTAAACTTTATTTTAAAAAGAATGCTTTTAGCTATGTGTGCTGCACAAACCTGCATTGCCAGACTAGGGAAGTTGAGGCAAGAAGATCACAAGTTCAGGACAGCCTGAGCTACACAGACCCCCATCTCAAAAAACAAACAAATGAAAACAACCAACCAAATGCAGCTATAAACAAATTAACAAGTTAATCAGGACTTGTTTTCTCTCCTCTTAAATTTTAATTGATTCTTACCCCTAGGAAATCCATGTATGCTTGTTATTTTAGCTTTTTCCCTTTTTAGACATGAAACATACTGTTTTAAATTTATAACTGTTCTATAAACTTAGTAAGCCAGTCATGAAAAATTCCAGAATTGGAATTTTTTAAACATACTGAATTTTTGCAACTATGGACAGATCAAAAGTAAGAGTAAATTCTTTATTCCCATCAGACCAGTCTCTAGTAGCACAATATAACACAGGGAACAAGACAACTTGATCTTCCCTGGAGAAAACTGCCAGCACTTGACAAATACTGTAACTTATAAAAAATTGGACTTGAGTCCCAATCTAACATACCAGCACCTACCTTAACAATGCACCATTCTAAACACTTCAAATTTTTCAATGAAGACTATTAATATAGCAAAAGATTTTTTTTTTTTTTTTTGGTTGTACTGGGGTTTGAACTCAGGCTCTTGGGCTTGTTAGGCAGGTGCTATACCATGTGAGTCATGCCCCCAACCCTTTCTTGTTTTAGTTATTTTTTTGGATAGGGTCTCAAATTATTGCTTGGGAATGGTCCTGAACCTCAATCCTACTACCTCCGCCTCCCAAATAGCTGGGATTATATAGGCTTGTAACACATGCCCAGCTTATTTGTTGATATAGGGCCTCACTGCCTTTATGCCTGGACTGGCCTCAAACCATGATGCTCCCGATCTCTCTCTGCCTGCTCAGTGGATTACAAGCATGTACCACCACTACACCTGGCCAAAAGATTTTTAACTTTTGTGTTCCAGTTAACATAAGACTTACTTCTAAGAATTGGGGTATTATATGCACAATCAGATACAACTAAAGCCTAAGTATTATTCTTAGCTTCTAAATTTATATTTTTAAAAAAGATTTGATAATAATGCCTGTACCTCAGTTTAAGGCTTTCAGAGAGTCTTTCAGCTTCTTCGATGGCTTTTTTGATGTTTGTAGGTCCAAGCATTGAATGAAAGTAGTCCTACAATTAGAGGAAAACCATTGCGTGCTGTTAGTACTGGCATTACACAGAGACTCATGTTAAAAACATCAAAATCATGGTGCAGATGAAAACATTACTATAATTGAAGCATTTTTAAAAATTTTTAACCCCCATAAATGTACAATTAATCCTCCAAATATCTCAGTAGGTATTTATACCATTAATGTCTAAAAGAAAATCTACTAGATAATAAATTTTTACTTATTTGTAAGCCACAATTAAGAGGAATAAGTACTGTTCTTAAATAAGTGCTAAAGAGCAAAGCTTTTAAGACCAAAATACATTTTCTTATTACAACTAGGTACCAAGTTTTTTCTCTCTAGTCTCAGAAGCAATAAAGCAAATTACACAAAGCTACCCAACATGGGCTTTGATTACTTGATTTTTTTTTCTTTTTGGCAGTTCCAAGGTTTGAACTCAGGGCTTATGCACTTGCTAGACAGGCGCTCTTCCACTTCAGCCACATCTCCAGCACTTTTTGCTGTAGCTATTTTGAAGACAAGGTCTTGCTTTTTTTGTCCAGGCCATCCTGGATTGCAACCCTCCTATTTTATGCTTCCAGCTCTCACTGAGATGACAGACGTACTCCACTATGCTCAGTTTTTTCTGGTGAGATGAGTCCTTGCAAACTTTTTTGCCCAGCCTGACCTGTAACCATGATCCTCCTGATCTTAGCCTCCTGCGTAGCTAGGATTACAGTCATGAGCCTCCAGTGTCTGACTTGATTTTTGTTGTTGTTGCTGTTTAAATGAGACAAAGTGTCATTTTGTTGCCCAGGTTGGCCTCAAACTTGCTATGTAGCCCAAGCTAGCTTCAAAGTCAGGATCCTACTGCCTTGGCCTTCCTGATGCTGGGATTATATACGAGCACTGTCATATCTATCTTTGCTTACTTGTTTTAATCCGAGATGTTTTTGCTCCTACCTATGCTTTACAAAATCTACTCATATCTCAACTGTAGTCAATACCTTGAACACATAAAACAAGTTTTATACCTGAGGGAACCCTGAGTTCCTACACACCAAATGACAGACGACAAATCAACAGTATAATCTATGTATAAAACACAAAAGGTTTGTTTGACAAGTAAGTTACTAACACTAGAACGAAGGGTTTTTCAGTTTTTAAGTCACTACCTACACAGTTCACTCACTGTGACCAGGTTGGTCAGGAGTGACAGTAGGTAGCTGATTCAGATAAATGATGCTTGTATCTGATTTGCTATAGGTCAATATGACTGCAAACGGAGCAGGATGGTCACAAGTTCAAGGCAAGCCTGAGCTACATATTGAGACCCTATCTCAACTCCCTCTGCAAAAAAGCATAGTATGGTCAATACTGTAGCAACTGAATGGTAGAGTGACCTCAGTGTCATGACTACTAATGTTAATACTTTGTAATAGAAAAGACAATATAATGAATACTACACATTTCTGATAAAAAACAAAATACAAAGTAAAAACAAAAAATGCTTTGATTTGTTTTCCTCATTTTCACACATGAATTCATTTAAAAAGCCAGCCTGTGAGTACAGCTTGTACTTATTTAAATGTTGCCTTTTACAAATTATCAGGAAACATCCCCTAATATTAGTGAGGTTTCCTGTCCATGATTCTCTCTCCTCTTAAGAGACAGTTACAGTAAGTACAAACACTTTCAATTTTTTGGCAGCATGACAACTGGAGAATAAAAATATACACATAACACCCATACCACTAAAAATGTTTGCTTCTGGGGTTTGCTGAGTAGAACCTCCCTGTTCCTACACACAGAGACGTGGGCTACCAGTGAACATAAGGATAATGCAGAATACCATGAGGATCTTAAATGCAGTTCTCACGTCATGTAGTATTTGCTTTGCCAACATTTTAAATGCATTTCCCTTTACCTTTTCAGATATGCCTGGGAACACTGTTTATAAACTTGATTTTTTTCAGGCTAGAGGTGTGGCTCAAATGGTATTAACGCCTGCCTTGCAAGTACAAGGCCCCAAATTCAAACCCTAGTCTTCCAATAAATAAATAAAAATAAAATTTAACACTTGACTTTTTTCAATGAGTAGGCAATAAATGTACTGTGTCTTTCCCTACTGTAAGAGGCTGCTAATTAACAAGTTTTACCTAAATCCTAACTATTCTGCAGCAAAAAGAGGGAAAGATACAATTTCTGAGGAAATTCAATGACATATATTTCTACCTGATTAAAGGGTCATAATTAGAAAATATCCAGTTAGTAACTTTAATACCTCAGATACTTAAAGTCCACTAGAGAGGTTAGACTAAGTAAGATAAAACAAAAAACAGTTGTAAGACAAGCAGACGAGGTGCAAATGAAAACAACCCTTCTACTGAAAACCTGCAGCATAGGACAAGGCAGCCTGGGTCCGGCAGAAGAGTCAGGCAGCTTGGGTCAGCTGGGCCTCTGCAGGCAGCTTCCTGACCTGAGCTTGGCCACGCCCACACAGATACTCCTCTGAAATGCAATGCGCACTGGAAATGGAAAGATCTCTTACCATGAAAATTTACTCCAACCAGCCTGGCACCAGTGGCTGTAATCCTAGTTATTCAGGAGGCAGAGATCAGGAGGCAGAGATCAGGAGAATCATGGTTCAAAGCCAGCCCAGGCAAATAATTCATAGATCAAGAGACCCTATCTCAAAAAAACCCATCACAAAAAAGGGCTGGCAGGGTGGCTCAAGGTGTAGGCCCTGAGTTCAATCCCAGTACCACAAAAAAAAAAAAAAAAAAAAAAATATATATATATACATATATATATATTTTTTTTTTTTACTACAACCTACTCAAGGAAGAAAGAAGGTGTCTACAAAAATATCCCAACCTTGTCAAAACAATCACTAATAACTTCTGAAAATAAAGCAGAAAGTAAACAAGTACATCAAAAGTTAGCTCTACTAAAAAACAGCAAACACCAAAAGTACCAAAGTTAACCAGATCTCAAATATTCTAAAAATATTTACTAAACACTGTTCCCCCTTTTTTAAAAGCAGTTTTCTCATTAAAAGATTTTCAAGAATGTACAAAAAGTTGTCTGAAAGTAGGCAGGCCTCTGGTGCTCATCTCCAGGTGAGTACATCTACAAATATTAAAAAATGTTTCTTCCAGGGCAGGACCAGCACTGTCATTTGTAGATAGGAAGATGAATCTGCACATGCAAGGGCACCTCTCCAAAACTAATTTTAAAACTCAGTAACTATTATTAGCATAATCACCATTAAAGTCATCCCTTAAGGAACAATCAAAAGGAAATTTTACCAGTCACACTATTCTGGGAGGAAAAAAGGTAACTTAAATTTTGTTATTTTGCTAAGTCAATTTAAACCAGACAAGCCAATTCCCCCTCAGAGAAGAAAATCAAGTTTAAGTACCAATGTAAGAGTGGCTTCTCTGTGCTGGGCACTGTGGTATACTCTTGTAATCCCAGGACTGTGGGAAGCTGAGGCAGGAGGATTTCAATCTAGGATATAAAGTGAAGCCTTGTGTTCATGGCTTCTCTACCAGGTAAGAAATCTACAGGCAGTATTTTGAGACTACTGTGTGACGGCAAGATTATTTCTGAGTAAAGGTGGAACCACTGACACAACCTTCCTCCACCTCCTTAAGACAACTCCACATTCTTTTTTTGCCAATTTCAGTCAAAATGGAACCGTTTTCCCTACCAATGCTTATCCTAGCCATCAGCTTCAGCTTCTCTATTCATTTACACTGTGTCTACCCTCTCCCCTACCATGGCTTTGGCAAACTGAACAATATACGCTATTCAATGAATTAAGAGCAAAAAAACACACACAAAAAAACTTAAAATCAAAAGATTTTGAAAAAGAAAAAAAGATTCTGGAAGCATTCAGTATTAATACAAGCTGAGATCTTTCATATGGCTATGTCAGTAAAATAAAAAAAGCAAATACATAAGAACAAATAGTTTAATCTTAATAAACCAGTCTTATTTAATTATTTTATTTATTTACTGAAATGGGGTCTCACTCTGTTGTCCAGGCTGACTTGGAACTCCCTGGGCTCAAACAATCCTTGCAGCTCCGTCTCTTGAGTGGCTGAGACTATAGGCACAGCTGTGCATGGCTATTATTTTTCTTTTCTTTTCTTTTTTTTTTTTTGGAGGTATTGGGGTTTAAACTCAGGGTTCTGTGCTTGCTTGGCAGGTGCCTTAACACCTGAGAACAACCCCCAGCCATTTTTTGCTTTAGTTATTTTTTTAATGGGGTCTCATGCTTTTGCTCAGGCCAGCCTCAGACCTTGGTACTTTCTACCTATGGACTTCCACATAGCTGGAATCAGAGATACAAACCAACCTGCCTGGTTTGTTGATTGAGATGGGGTACCACTAACTTTTCCCCTGTGCTGCCCTCAAACCTCAATCCTCCCTATTTCTACTTCCCAGGATATCTACCTCCCTAGTAGCTGGGATTGTAAGAGTGTACTAACACACCCAATCACAGCTATTATTTTTCTTACTCAGTTCATGAGTTAATTCAATCCTTCTACTTGACCCAGCAATAATCTATTACAACAGAAAGCAGATTATGAGTCTATATAGTGCTATAAATTTGTACTAATCCAAGGCAAAGAAAGAATGTGTATATACATGCACACATATATAATAATGAAACAAAATCTTTAGTTTGTCTTTCTCTTTTATGTAAGAGATTGAACTTGATGTTGTATAATGTGATTTAAATTTCTTTGTTAGGCTGGGGGAACAGCTCAGTGGTAGCGCTCCTCTTGGCATGAGCAGCCCTAAGTGGATCCACAGCCCCACCAAAACAAAAGTAAATTGCACCGTTAGTTGGATCTTTTAGAGGAAATCAATAGTTCTATTATTATGCAAAAAAAATGAATAAAATGCAAAAGTAAAAGGTACCTGCTGTTGCTTGAAATCAGGTCTCTTTTTGATAAGATTATAAACAGTCATAAATTTCATATATAGCACATAGGCCCTTTCCTCATCACGATCTAATCTGCATTCTTCCGCTGCCTTGAAGATCTTCAGAGCACTGTGTATATAACTTAAAATCAGAGAAAAAAAAGTAAAATACTTGGCATGTGGGGGAAAAATACAGGTCATTGATAAAAATCTACAGATAAAAGTAAATTTCATGATTTAGGACACACTACTTCATGCACTTTCTACCAATTCTTCTGGAAGACCCTGCTAAAAAGGAAAGGCCTATCTTAGGGCTGACCTAGAGACTCTTCATGTCCTTAAGTTTTGAAAAAACTTCCCCCTTGTTTTCCATCTGAAAAGTGTACAACAGGAATTACACAGTACTACTTCTTCCTCCATCGATACTACCAGCTTAGCCCAAGATGTAAGCCAATCCTCCTTGTTCTTCCCCCAAAATTTCTTTATATAAAAAAGCCATTTAGTCCTTAGTGATATTTAGAAATACCAGTTCATTTCAGGATTTTTCTTCCTAACCGTTTTTATTTAAAATTTTTGCCATTCTCTTGTCATTGATGAAGCTTTGTTTTCTTCCAATCTTTTATTTATTTCCTTTAGAAAATGATTCATTAAGATGTCCCTGTGCATTTAAAGGTTTTTTTAGATACCTCTTCATGGTTCATTTTTTGGAGCTTCCTATTTATCTCCAGTCACGAAACACATATTTCCCCCCTTGATCTCTAAAATCTACTTTTCCCAAGTCTGGGGAATATGGCTGGCCACGTCCACCTGTCTTTCTAAAACTTGATTTCCATCTCCATAGTTAAGGCGGTATTTATTTATATGCAAATCTCCTTTGCTAGTGAAAACATTATCAATTAAGTTCTTTTATTGTGTTCTGCTCATTAACAGAGATACAGCTAGCAACAGGTTAACAATTTTAGTGACACCCCATTTTTAGCAAGTATCAAAACAACTAAAACTCTCTATCACTCTTTTATTTTACCTCAGGATAGAAGTAATCTCTATAAGAAAGGCTTAATTTCTATCCCTGCCTCATCAGGTAAATACGTCCTCAAAAATAAAAATATATACAATAAATCATTAAGTTAAAAATGGATTTCAAATTGGCATAGAATACTTTACTGAATATTAAACAAAACATACCTATGCCTCCTATTTTAATGGAAGATTATGCTAGCATAACTTACATGTGTAAGACAGGAGAATGAGCATGAGCTTTATTTTTTGGTGGAACCGGGGTTTGAACTCAGGTCTTCATGCTTGCAAAGCAGGCACTCTACCGCTTGAGCCATGTCTCCAGACCTTTTATTTTTATATTGTTTTATGAAAACACAATGACTTGTGGCTGAATAAATTTTACAGAACCCTCATGCTGACTCTTAAAACTTATGATCCAGTATGCATACCATCTATAGCGCAGATAATTTGCATAGGAGCAGAACATACATGTATTCCGCCAAGACAAAGCTCAGAACTTGTCTAAGAAGGTCTTACTTTATTCATGTGACGGTATCATTTTTCAAATAAACTTTAACTGTTCATCAAATGTGAACAGGAAATGAACTAAAACTGATTCACACTAATGAAGGACACATACCTCTTGGTGCTTATTTTCTCTGGCTTAACTTCTGTCTTCTTGTTGAGGTCTTTCAGTGAAGAACTGAGGTAGAGTTCTTTAGGAACGGAGGCCACAGCAGGCATGATGAACAATTCTTTACTTTTCCACTTTCACAATGGATGGGATACGTCCTTCCTGAAAGAAGTAATTCCACTAATTTTCCTCATTAACAAAAAGCAAGTTACCATTAAAACATACACATACACCTCCATGGCTGAAAAATGTAACTGGGTAGTAAAGTGTTCATCTAGAATGCATGAGGCTCTGGGTTTGATTCCTATTAGCATGTCAAAAAAGAAAAAAAAAAAAATCAAAAAAAAATTCCTAAACTGCCATCTCTACATAGCAAAACCCTATCTCAAAAAATAAAACAAAACAAAACACTTCTACACTGTATTTTGCTAACAGGGTTAACTAACTTTAAATTATCTTGAATATCTATTTTGGGAGTTTAAGACGTATAAGGTATAAACAGTAATTTTTTCAAAAGTTCATTAACTAAATGAATTACTGTTTATACTATTTTTCCTTAAGTATTATGAATCTTATCTATAAAAAGAACCAGTAGTAATAATAGGAGCTTTTACATTTTTCTGATGTTAAAATTGTGTTAATGTACATAGTACAAGTAGAATTTTCATCTAGAAATATTTCTCTTTTCTCACAGATGTTATCACTTAATAAAAGAAAACAAGTTGTAGGAAGGGCCACATTATATGAAACTGGGAAAAAAAGAAGGTACTTTGGTTTTTGGTTTGTTTGTTTTTTTGAGATATGATTCACTACATAGCCCAGACTGGCCTCAAACTCTCAATCCTCCTTCACCCCTGTTAGAATAGCCATCATTATCAACACCACCACCAACAGGTTTTGGCAATGATGCAGGGGAAAAAGGAACCCTCTTACACTGCTGGTGGGAATGTAAACTAGTACAACCACTCTGGAAAAAAAATATGGAGGCTACTTAAAAAGCTAAACATTGGTCTACCATTTGATCCAGCAATACCACTCTTGGGGATATACCCAAAAGACTGTGACACAGGTTACTCCAGAGGCACCTGCACACCCATGAAAAGCAGCACTATTCATAATAGCCAAGTTATGGAAACAACCAAGATGCCCCACTACTGACGAATGGATCAAGAAAATGTGCCATCTATACACAATGGAATTTTATGCAGCCATGAAGAAGAACGAAATGTTATCATTCACTGGTAAATGGATGGAATTGGAGGACATCATTCTGAGTGAGGTTAGGCTGGCCCAAAAGACCAAAAATCGTATGTTCTCCCTCATATGTGGACATTAGATCAAGGGCAAACACAACAAGGGGATTGAACTTTGATCACAAGATAAAAGCGAGAGCACACAAGGGAGATATGAGGATAGGTAAGACACCTAAAAAATTAGCTAGCATTTGTTGCCCTCAACGCAGAGAAACTAAAGCAGATACCTTAAAAGCAACTGAGGCCAACAGGAGAAGGGGACCAGGAACTAGAGAAAAGGTTAGATCAAAAAGAATTAACCTACAAGGTAACACACATGCACAGAAAATCAATGTGAGTCAACTCCCTGTATAGCTATCCTTATCTCAACCAGCAAAAGCCCTCGTTCCTTCCCATTATTGCTTATACTCTCTCTTCAACAAAATTAGAGATAAGGGCAAAATAGTTTATGCGGGGTATGTAGGGGGTGGCGGGGAGATGGAGGGGGCGGAGTGGGTGGTAAGGGAGGGGGTGGGGACAGGGGAGAGAAATGACTCAAGTATTGTATGCACATATGAATAATAAAAAAATAAAAGTTAAAAAAAAAAAAAAAAGAAAAGAAAAAGAAAAAACCCATCACAAAAAAAGGGCTGGTGGAGTGGCTCATGATGTAGGCCCTGAGGTCAAACCCCTGTACTGTAATTAAAAAAAAAAAAAAAAAAAAAAAACCTAGGAGAGTTTCATGTAGAAGCTTCTGACTCCAGTACCAGACTTGTCTACACTTTTCCTTTACTCTCATTTTATTTTTATTTATTTTTTGGTGGCACCGAGGTTTGAACTCAGGGCCTCATACTTGCTAGGCAGGCACTCTACTACTACTTGAGCCACTTCACCAGCCCTTCTTTTACCCTCACAGAGAGTAACCACAATGCTCTCTGCGTGCCTAAGGTAACCAGTACCAGGGCTTTGTAGCTTTCTCCCTGGACAGCAGCCACTGGGGCTCAACACACAGGGAATCTACCATCCAGCTCCAGCAATGGCCTTTCAGGGATCAGGAGCACAGAGGGGAATGGATGAGGTGCATATAGCTCTGAGTTCCTGAAAACTTAGTTCTGGGGTCAGGAAGTACAACAGCAAGGCACCAGGGGTACTAGGTGTCCACTGAAGGCCTGTTCCTCATAAATGGCATTTTCCTGCAGTATCCTCACCTGGTAGAACAGTCACCAGGCACCCTCCAGGCTCTTTTAGAAAGGCACTACTCCCATTCACTTATTTTTTCTTTTCTTATCACTTAAACCACTCCACCAGCCCCTTCTTGTGATGGTTTTTTTTTGTTTTTGTTTTTTCAGATAGTGAGACGGCTAGGAGTTGGAAAAGTTTGGGGCTTGTGTAGGTTGCCCTGGGATGGCCCAGACCACCCAAACCTGGGTGGGAACTCCCGTGCCCCTTCCCAATTGTTCATTATTGGGTTGGAATCTCCTGGGTCTGCCCTCACCATGGGTTAGTGTAGATTTTAAAAGCACCTGAAAAAGAAAAGCACCGCTCTCTGCTGGTGGACTCTACCTGCGCCCACCATGCTCCCTTTGTATTTCCTTTCCTGACTTTTAAATAAACCCCATTTACATCCACAAAAAAAAACTCTCAATCCTCTTGACTCAGCCTCCTTAGTGCTCAAATTACAGGCACGTTGTCACCATGTCCAGCACAAAGAATGTATTTCTGTTTCTGCCAGAAAACACCAGTGCATTCAGTTTACTCTGAAAAGGTCTTTGATGTTTTATGATGTTGTTTCATTGTATGCTCTGACCAAGAAGATGGAGCAAGTAATAAACAAAATGAAGGCAAGAGGAAGATAGATATATGCCAGTAAAATCAGGTGTACGTGTATACTGGAGATGGAGCAGATCTGCAATGGGACAGATGAGGAGCACCCCAAGGGAGGAGTCTTGGCAAGATCCTAAGTGTCACCAAATGAAAACTTAATACAAAGTCTTCTTGCCACAAAGAACTAACTTGAATGTCACACTGTTTTCCAAAGGCAATGGAAAGCCATAGCAAGTTCTAAGAAGTTACGTGATACAATTTAACAAAAGTACAGAGCTGTACTTTAAGAGAATGGAGATAGGAAAAACACTGGTTATCTATGGTAATGATCCTAGGGGAGATGATGAAGGTCAGAACTAGGGCAGTACAGATGTAAAGGAGGCGGCAGATAAAAGAAACACCGCAAAGGTAGAATGACCGGACTTGGCAAAGATTAGACACAGGGAGGAAAGGTATGGAGATAACATTGTGATGTCACCAAAGTTTTAAGCAAGGGCTTCTGGAACAAAGATTATACACATACACACACACATATATGTATACATATTTACATTTTGAGACTGGATCTCACTATGTAGCACAAGCTGGCTTTGAACTTTCGAACCACCTGCCTCAGTCTCCTGAGTGCTAAGATTATAGAAGTACACAACCATGCTCAGCTGCTTTTCACTAGTGTTAAAAATACTTTTGGCATTTAGTCTTTTTTTTTTTTTTTACTGTTGTTGCTGTTGTTGGCAGTACTGGATTTGAACTTAGGCTTCCTACTCACTAGGCAGGCAATCTACCACCTGAGTTCTCTGCCATAACCTTGTTATTAAGTGGCACAATCACACACATTTCTGAAGTCAAACGGAAAGTCAAGGGTTTATTGTTTTCCCTAATCAAATGAGAAAAGCAAAAAAAAAATACACATCCAACCTAAATGTGAAGTTTAATACGTTAAATCTTTCTAAGCTGTCCTGCTACATTTTGCCATTAAAAAAAAAAGGAAAAAAATCTCAGCATAAACTGACATGAAATAAATTCAAAATGAATTATTTCCTTACTAAAAAACAAAAGAAAAAGCAGCAGCAACAATAAACACATTGATTACACACACACACACACACACACACACACACACACACACACACCCAGATATGGAATTCAATTTGTAGAACAGACTAAACCTAACTTATAACCCAGTAAAACTATGTTACGATTCAAGCAAGATTGTAAGTCTACAAAAGTAATTAAATAGCTGGGTGCAGGGATATACTCCTTTAGTCTCAACACTGGGGAAGCTGAGGCAGAAAGACCATGAGTTTGAGGACAACCTGGGCTATGCAGTGAGACCTCAAAACAAACAAACAAAAACTAAATATATTTAAGAAAAAATAAAGTGTTAGTTTTTAGAACTAAAAATTTCTAAAGACATGTAAATCTGACAAAGATTAAGAATTCCAGTGTTACCCAAACAGTAATGCTCCAAAAGATCCAGACAGTACTGAAGACGAGTTAACCTGAGGAGGAAACACTGGAAGTATTTGTCCCCCTTTTACTTTTTAATGTCCTTCTCATCTTTCCAGTGAATAAGAGGTTAGATGACTTGAACCACAGAGTGATGCCTAAAACATCCTGACAAAAAAGTGAAAGAGAAAATGAGGTTTTCACTCACTTAAACTGGTCCTGAGATCTTAACTAGGACTTCACACCAGCCAGTGCCAAGGTTCTTGGCTACACTGAAAGGAAAGCAAAGTCTGTCTCTGTCAGGCAGCCAACATCTCTCTCCATAGCCTTTCTTCAGGCAGCAGCAGTGCTCTTTACTGTATCTTCTGACTGTTTCTTAAATAGCATTCAACCACTCTACAGTCATTCTATGCAAAATGCCACACACAATTAAGTATTGATGAAATGTTTAAAAATAAATCCTAAAGTATTAAGAAGGCTCAACCTTCTTGACTTCATCATTGCTAACACTTCTGGTATTTTCTGAGTACCTTTCTTAGAAAGGTGTGAAATGCTTGAACACAGTGTTTTCAAAATCTACATGGTCACAATTTAGCATTTGAAAAAAACACACAAGGGCTGGAGGTGTGGCTCAAGTGGAAGAGTGTAGGTCCTGAGTTCAAAACCCCACTACCACCAAAAAAAAAAAAACAAAACCAAAAAACCCACCACATAAAATGAAAAAGGAAATATCAAATTATGTCACATATAGTGACAGGTGGTGGTACACTTGAAAAGTGGGGCCTAGGAGGCAATGCCACTGGAAGCAGTAAAATAGTTTTTGTGGGGCCCCAACAGACCCTAGTCTCTCTATTTGGCTTTCTATTTTACCATGTGGTCTCTCCCTTTCAACATGAGCTCCTGTCACGATGACATAGCATGATGTGATGTAGTCAGAGAGGCTCTCGAAAGAGCTGGCACCATGCTATTTGGACTTTCCACTTTCAAAAATGTGAACGAAATAAGCCCATTTTTTCTATAAAGTACATGGCCTCAGTATCTCAGTAATGGAACAGGAACTAATATGGCATGTACTATATATATAACACTGGATCAAAATGTAAAATGTATTGCTATAGGTTTCAGGGAGGAGGGGAAGGTCAGGTGTGGTAGTGTGCCTGTAAACACAGAATTTGGGAGATGAAGGCTGGAGAATTGAGAGTTCAAAGCCAATCTGGACTACATAATGAGATCCTGTCTCAAAAAATCTGACTGTCTCCCATTACAGCAATGCTACTCCATGTCAATACTAGTCTGTGATAAAATAAGAAGCCTGTGATAGGATGTAAATCAATTAAGCACACTGACCTTTTTATACTAGCAAGACTCTCACCGAAGCAAGCAGTGCACTGATTTACATTCTAAAGTCAATTTTTACCTCATCACTGAAGGTAAGGAGGACCTTTAATGATTCAGATTAGCTACTATGAGAAGCACTGCTCTAGGGGATATAAGAGAATAGAGCTTCTGATCACAAATGCCAGTCTAGTTACCAAGAACAAGTTAATACTCATTAAATAATAAGGTGACAATGAACTGCTACACTATATATTAATATGACATAGTCACTGTGAAGTCATGAGGAAGGGAAAATTCAGTGCAGCTGGAAAAGACAAAACTTCATCCAGTCCAAAGGATACTCTTCCCTTTAGTGCTGGTCTTTTTTCCTTCAAGGGCCAACTTAAGTTTCACTTGGGGGAATGGCTCAAGTGGCATGAGGGCCTGAGTTCAAATAAGAGCACTGCAAAAAAAAAAAAAAAAACATTCATCTCTGTCCCTGGTGGTTCCAGTTGTTGGAGTTCATTTCTTGGTCTGAATCCTCTACAGTGCCTGTTGTCTTTATGGTTCTTTTAGTACAGTATTTGGACCAAATAACAATTATGCTAAAATGAGGTAGAGACAGAAACTGCTCTAGGGAAAAGATTTAATTAAGAATATGGTGAGAAAGGACGGCATTTCAGAGAGAGAAACACCAAGAACAAAGACACAAATTGAGAAATCAGTGATAAAACAATGGAAAAAATACAGAATACTATAGGGATCATAAGCAAATAATCAACTGGATGTCTTTATATTCCTGCCACCTGCTCAGTAGTCCTCACAGTCCACACTTAACTAATAGCTAATAATAATAATTAAATTATATTAAGAAAGGAGACACAATCACATTATGGAGGACATTTGAAGCCATCCAGAATGGTTTATATTTGACTCAGCAAGTCAGTAAAAGCCAATTCTTGACAGAAAAACAGTTACTGTCTCTGGGAGGTCACATTGGAAATAAAACAACTTGAGTTTGAAAGAGATGGGGACTGTGAATTGACACCCTGTTGGGGAGGGATGAAAGACAGAAAGAGAGGGAGGGTGGGTGTGGGTGTGTGTACACGCAAATGTGTGTGTACGCAGAGGGGAAAAAAGAAGAGAGGAGGAAGAAAGAAATTATAGTATAGAAAAGAACTAGAACACTATTATAAAAAAAAGAACAAAAAGGCAAAACAGTGCTTACAGTCCCCTCTCTCACTCTCTCTCTCTGAATACTGGTGCTGTTAAGAAAAAAAAAAAGATGTTACAGAATAAAGCCCTGAAGTTTACTGCCAAAAAAAAGAGAAAAAAATGAATACTGTAGTTTAAAGCTGATCAGTTTATAGCAGCAATTTTCAATCTTGTCATTATTCACATTTTGGACCAGATAAAACTCTATTGTGGGAGCCTCTTCTACACAGTGTAGGGTGTTTAGCAGGATCCCTGGCCTCTACTGATTACAGTAGAGAAGGAGTAGTACTCATCCTTCTCCTCCAGTTGTGACAACCAAAAGTCTCCGGAGTTCCCTGGGAGGCAAAACTACCACCAAATAAGAACCACTGATTTATAGGAAAGTAGGTAATTCAATTTTGAACATGTTGAGTGTATGATAAAAATATCTAAAGAACTGTACCTTGGTAAGAAATGTAAATACGTAATTACAAAGTGGTAGACAGACCACACATAAATCTGTGCATTAACTCTGAAGCCATTAGTGTTAATTTTCATAAACTCTATGTTTGGGAGATAACGACATACCCACACTGAAATGATAGTACCAGGATTGGGTTTAGAATAATTCTATTTTATTTTTGTATATTATACTTCTATAACACTTACAGAAACATAGACATCAGCCTGCTGAAAGCAGCAGCAGTGCCTGTAGTCAGTCCGAGCTACCCAGGAGTTAGAGGTAGGATAATCTATTGAGCCTAAGAGTTGGAGGTCAGCCTGAGCAACAGAGCAAACCACCATTCTCAATAAAAAAATACGCACATTAAAAAAAAATGAAACAGTCATCATTTATAGTAACAAAAAATCGGGAGGACAAATCACCAAGGAAATAAGCTCTTGTTTTTTATAGCTGACAACTGACTTGAAAGGCCCAGAATTTGGTGGGGGGGGGGTTTCTTAAAGGAGGAAAGATTCAGAAAAGGAAACAAGAGTCATTTACAATGAAGGAATAAAGGAAAGTGCAATATCATGGAAACCAAGGATAGAATTCCAAGGAACTTTTACAAAGACCTTAGACTACTAAAGGGGAAAAAAGAGTAAAGTAACTAGCCCTAGTTAAGAAAAGTAACTATATAGTCTAACTTCAATTTGATAAACATTTGCACTATTTACCATAAATGAGGTAGAATGTTGATAGCTATAATAGGAGACATAAAAAAAAATACTACCTCCTAACAAAGTTCCTGCCTATTAAAAAGAAAGATAAGTACATAATGGTAATTAAAAGTACACTCTGTATACTAGCAAACCATGCCAAAATCTATTCATTTTATTAAGAAGGGCCATTCTGACAAACAAAAGGTAACTTTTCTAGATTAGGTGTCTGTCTATACACAACTTTAATTCATTTCTTTTATCTTCTCCCTCATTATTTGCCCAGTTTTTCACACAGCTGCAAAATAGATAAGCAAAGAAACAGACCACATTTACCATGTGCCAAAAAAAAAAAAAAGACATGGCTGGATCCTAGCTAAGTATAAGAATCACCTAGAGAACTTTTTAAAAAGTATTGATGCCCATCAAATTCCAGTACCACCAAAAAAACAAAAACAAAAACACCCAAAAAAATCCACCTTTCCTGGTTTTCTTACTACATGTCTGGAGGTAATCTTGGCTGGCAGAGTGGCTCAAGTAGTAGAGGTCCTGCCTACCAAGTACAAGGCTGGATTCAAATCCCCCAGTATGCTACAGAAAATGAACAAATAAATGATGCCCCCAGATGCCACTCCTCAACAATTAAGCTGGAACCTCGGGGAGGGGGCCTACACAGGTGATTTTTAAGAAGCTCCCCAGGTGAATTCTAAGAAAAGAAAATAAATAAAAAGAATAAACAAAACAAAAAGACTAAAAAGCCATGAACATGAAGAATGGTTATAAAAAATATGTTGCTAGATACCTTAAAAGCAACTGAGGCCAATAGGAAAAGGGGACCAGGAAGTAGAGAAAAGGTTAGATCAAAAAGAATTAACCTACAATGTAACACACATGCACAGGAAATTAATGTGAGTCAACTCCCTGTATAGCTATCCTTATCTCAACCAGCAAAAGCCCTCGTTCCTTCCTATTATTGCTTATACTCTCTCTACAACAAAATTAGAGATAAGGGCAAAAGAGTTTATGCGGGGTATGGAGGGGGTGGGGGGAGAGGGAGGGGGTGGAGTGGGTGATAAGGGAGGGGGTGGGGGCAGGGGGGAGAAATGACCCAAGCCTTGTATGCACATATGAATAATAAATCAGTATTTTAAGTCACATACTACGCAACCTACCAAAATTATGAGAACTCATTTTTAAAATGGAGAAATGAAAATACGACGTCAAAGATTTCCATGCCCATAACTTTACTCAGGACTAATTTATTTTGAAATTGGTATTAAAATGTGCTTTAATTTCATTTCACTATGTTAGAAAGGGCTGGTGGAGTGGCTCAAGTGGTAGAGCACATGCCTAGCAAGAGTGAGGCCCTGTGTTCAAACCCCAATATCACAAAAAGAGAGAAAAGAAAAAGATAAGCAGTTTTACATCATTATTGGTATGTTTCAGAGTTTAGTATTATGAAAGACTAAAATGTAATATGCTAAATAAGAGACAAGGCTGTTATCTCAACACTGCCTTTATTTATTGTGTACCAGTGATGTTTCACTTGAGTAAGTATGGTTATAAGTGTGCAATTCCAAGTTTAATGAGCCGGGCACTAGTGGCTCACGCTGATATACATCCTAGCTACTTGAGAGGCAGAGATCAGGAGGATTACAGTAATAGTTCAAGAGATACGATCTTGAACAAACCCATTTAAAAAAGGACTGATAGAGTGACTCAAAGTATAGGCCCTGAGTTCAAACCCTAGTACCCCAAAAATAAAAAAAGTTTAATGTAACATTTTATTGTTTACTACTAATACACTGGATATTATGGAAATGCTGTAGGTCCTAGTCTTATTTCTCACTTACTAAATATAGGATGTTAAGCAAATTCCTCAAATCCTCTCAATAACCATGCCACTGCCATTCCTCAAACAGGAATAATTTCTCTGCTTCTATAAGGTTACCATATATATCAAGTG